GTTTTCCCCTCCAGATCCGGTATTCTGTCCTTACCTACTATCCCCCAAGGCTGCCTTGGCTATGAAGTACACAATGCAACATCAGCCCTGGAATGACGAGTATACGCTACAGCTTAGCAAGGAATAGTAAGTACAAGTCACTCAAATTATTAGAGACCTGTGGTAAACAAAAAGTGATTGGGAAATGTTTTTGAGATTAACCCTGACCATTCAAAATCAGAGCACCTGAAGGTTTTAAGGCTAAACTAGCATATTTGACAAAAAGTGATTGGGAAATGTTTTTGAGATTAACCCTGACCATTCAAAATCAGAGCACCTGAAGGGTTTATGGCTAAACTAGCGTATTTGACAGCCCCACTGCTGTATAAAGTTCTTTGATGTTTTTTTTTTTTTTTACTTAAAACTGACTTCAAAGGCAAAAGATTCCTTTGCACCAAATATTTGTGCTAAGAGAAGGTTTGGGTCACTAACAGGAAGCCGTTTTGCAAAGGCAGATATATCTCGTAGCTCAAGCAAATGTTGTACATTTGTTTCTGAAATGGTTTTTAAAAGACTGCACTTCAACTTTATCGTTGAAAAGCCAGTTCTTTTGGTTTCAGTTTCGTGAAAAGAGACTGGCTTTTGAAAAGATTGTATGGTTTAATCAGAATGACATTGACTGTACCAGCTGGTTACAGATGTAAACTGTTCATAGGGTTGCTGTTTCTGTGTGGATTCATATTGTTTGTGTTTTCCTAAAGAATGATATCAAACCCGTGGTGGTGTCGTCATGTTAACCTTTCTCTTTAGCAGCACTCAAGTCAAATCCACCCTCCCCAGTGAGGACAAGCGACGCCCCCAGTAAGAGCCATGAGAGATTCGTTCCCTGTCCCTCATCCCAAATTTGTTTAACTCACACTTTCCACTGTTCTGGCTGTGTTTTTATGAGTTATAACTGTTGTTTTTGGTAGTTTGCAAACTCATCATCATCATCATCGTGCTTTGTAGTCGTACCTTTCGTCTTGCAATGTCTCTTATAGAAACCCCTCGGCAACTGGTCCCCAACTCTGTCCTCTTTAGTGGATGTTCCTTCTCTTCTGAAAAACTTCCCTCAGAAACGTCCTTCTCAAGGCAGGGTATTCTTATAGCAGAGCATTAGAAAACACTGAAGAAAAGATTTCATCTGTTGTTCACTTTTTTTCATTTATCAAAAGTATGTTACATGTCAAGCAGAGCAGATGAAAATGTGCAACATTTGATTGATAGTATGATAAAGTACTGAAATGAGGAAGACTCATATGGAAACTTCTTTGAACAGAATTTGAACTTTTTTAAGGGAGAAAATGAAAACGAACTAAATATAGAATATTTTGATGAACGTAAAATAGGAAACAATTTTGCTCCAGCTGATATAAAGCTGCAGTCACCTTTGACCCTACTGATCATTTGTACAGTCAGAATGTTAACCTTTGATAAGTAAACCTTGTACACAGATAAAGAAATCAGATAATTTTCAATAGCAACAGTGTGAGTGTCATCCAATTAATTGATCTGAAAATTCTTTGTAGTTGGAGCTACTGGAAAGTTGATATATTTCTTTTGTTACTTTTAACATATTTCTGAGTTAAAAAGGCAAGTTGACTCCAATAACCAGCTCTATTCCCATGTCTCTCTCTTCCCTCACTATCTGGATTCCTACCCTCCCATCCTATCTCTTCCTTACATACACACCATGGGCAGTTTCCATGAACCCGCTTGGCTCGCCAATCTGCCCACTGCAGCTGATGATGATAGCGTGATTGATAGTGTGCTTGATAGCGAGACAGAGGAGGAACCAGAACGTTGGTAAATGGCGCTGTATGATTGCATCGTCAGCGATTGGTCACACTTTGGCTCAAAACGTGCATGAAATACTGCCCTCATTGCTTGCTGCTTGCCCAGTTGTGATGTGAAATACTGCCCTCATTGTTTACTGCTTGCCCAGTTGTGATGTGAAATAGTGCCCTCAAAACAGAATTGTGGCACATAGACTGTAGCATGAATGGTTGTAGTTGGTGGAAACCCCTGTCTATAGAATTGAGCATCTATGGCACAAAGTTCTTGATACATAATCTAATTCCTAAAAATTGTTATTGCATAGACGTGTCGGGTTCAAAAATCTTACTGCATTAGGAATATCCTAACAAGTCAGAAATAGTCCTTTATTCAAAACATTTATGCTCATTTTGCAATAAAAGGTGATATCTTTTGAAGCACCAATTTGCAGGTACAAGATCATAATTACTTTATCTCTGGCGAGTTTGAACTCAATTGTAAACTTTCAAGTCAAACGTGGTTAGACCCTGTGATAATATATGGCTTTGGTTTTAAAAAATTGTATTCAAGAAAAGTATTTATGAAATAATGTAACACCTTAAACCACGCACAAGTACTGTCGTTGACCACACTGCTTGTAAACATATCGTCATCAATCATCCCTGCACCTCATTTCATCTCTCATCTGCAAACATTTTATTTTGCGCATGTTGTCATAGCTATGTTGTATTATTTGTCAACAGGTCAGTGGTTAACTCCTGCCTCTGACCTTCAACTGTTCTTTTGGAACAGAATAGCCGTGCATGGAACGAACTAATGATTTTATAAATAATGTAACATGTTGATATGCAGAAAACACCAGAGGGCGCTCTGAAGTCATAGGTATGCACAGTCTGTTAGTTGGGTTCTAATTGCAAGGCTGCTTTATCTGTTGTAGAGGGAGCGTTTCATAGGCTTTATGGTATAACATGATGTAAATTTTACAAAGTATGAAAGAGTGCCCTCTAGTGTCATTTTGGGCTGCTTCTTTTTGAATTAAACCCCTTTTTCTGTCCGTTACTAATATGAGATTTTTCAGTTAAATTCCAAATCGGACTACCCAATGCATTTTGTTTAACATCAACTTATGATACATACATTTATCTCCCTTTCCTACCACTAACATTGGTCATCCCCACTGTGTCTCAGATCAAAAGGATCCCCCAAAACAAACTGACTTTTTTTGCTGCCAAGAACCCCTATGCCTGCTTTTTTCCAAGAATTATTGATTGTAATTGAAACAGATTCTTGAACCATTTTTCTCAACAGTAGTTTCTAGGGATAGCTTGTTCTGGGACATGGTGGAATGACTCACAAAATGTTGAAATTTTTTTTGTCTTTAGTGTCTAAATCTTGTACATGCAGGTATGCATGCATTGTCTTTTCAGCCATAAGGCTCTTAAGACTATTTTTCTTTTGTAAGATTAGCAGTCACTTTTAATATTTTTGACAGATATTTTGTCATCTTTAAGTGAAGTTGTGTTTGTGGTAGAAGCGATAGAACATTTGCAAAAGTCAGATGCTTTTGTTTTGCTAGATGCGGAATAGAATACATGTCTAAAACAGGTCTTCCTGTAATCTGAAACCAAAAGCTGATTGCAAAAACATCAATACATCTATTCAATTTTGATTTATTTTGTAAATTTGTGAAATCAGCATTTAATTTTTCCGTACAGTTACTGGATCCAATTTGTTGAATGTTTCAAATGTTAGCCCTTCTCATGTGAATTAATTTATAGTGAAACCCCAGAAGATGAGAATTTCATAAAGGCTGTCAACGACCAGTTTGACATCATGCCCCAGAAGATGAAAGATTACCTCCCCGTTTGTCCCTATGGTACGGCCCAGCGCTGTCTGCTTGCTGCACAACTCTTTGGTGATGAGGCAGAGACCACTTTCTGGACGGTGGCATTGCAATATCTCAAGGCTGAGAAGGCCAGGTTGAATTGTCCAATCCATAAGGTGTGTAAGTGAAATCACCATAAGACCACTCAAGAATTGTTTAAATTGTCGAGGTTGTGAGAAGACATATAAAGAACCCACTTTTAAAGCCACTGATTAAGAATTACCTGTTTTGAAACTAAAATTTTATGAGAAAGGGACTGCTTTTGTCCAGGCACGCTAATTTTTTCCCGTATTTTTTGTTGTTGATCTCAGTCCACACCAGACAATCCTGGAGCTGGTTATCACTCTGATCCCTTCCAAGGTGAAGTGCCTGGTGCCCTGCCCAGTAACAACAGGTCACTCTTGATGGACACCAGGGAAGAGGAGGTGGTTACCAGCTGCTCTTGCATTAAGGAACCACTGTTGGACACCTGCTATGATACCCTCTGTGATAGCAAGTCGTATCAGGTGGGTCAAGAGACATTATCTGAGTTTTGAAGTCATTAAAATTACTGAAATTTAGAATTGTTACCAAATTCAGAACGTAGACTGTAGTACTGTTCACTTTATATGAATAAAAAAATTGTAAAATGTGTCTAATAATTTCCTGTTGAAAAATAAACTGAATCTGTTTTTTGGGGTTTTTTTTTTTCAGAAATATCAACTTGAGCGCTTGAGCCTTCATGATAGCAAACGATCGACCCACGAGCAGACAATGAAGTGCGCAGAAAACCTCATTCTTTTAGGACAGGTAGAAATTGTTAAGATAACCTCCTAACCATGCACCTTTTTTTCAGGATTTTGTGATATAGCTGAGGACAGCTATGGCTTACAGTGAGATCTGGTTAAAAAATGATTTGATTTTATGGCCATGTAATAAATTAAAATTTATTTGGTGTGGAATCAGTTGTTCTTGAAGGATTTCTTGGTTGTATGTACACAGTAGCCAACCAGTGGATCATTTTTCTGGACTTCGATTTTCAAGGAGCATAGGGTCTCAGAAAAAGTAACAGTGTTTGGAATCTACCATCCTCTGTCAGCAATGGTTTCAAAAACTTTTTGGAGACAATCTCTGGTAGAATGTTTTCCAGGTACATTTTCAACTTTCCTAGGTATTCTTACCTTGTCTTTTTTTGTCTTTTCTCCAAAGTTTGACCGAGCAGTGCAGTTGTATCTTGAGACGGAAGCTGAGAATGACAGTTATTACCTAGACTCCATCTTGGCCTGTCTGGTTGCTACGGTGAAATCCACAGGGGCATCACAAAGCACTATTAAGCTGGTGGCCACAAGTCTCATTGCTAACAACAAACTCTCCGGTAAAAGGCTTTCCAAAACTTATTTCAAGTCATGTGACTTCCTGAAAGGGATTATGTTGATGGTAATTAAACTCAGGCTTTTTGAATAGAAATATCCCCAACTCAAATAGTTTTGTCTCTGTAACATTTATTTCACTATAAACTGACTATATTATGACTGTTTTATTTGTTCTTAGAGGGAGTTCAGCTACTTTGTCTCATCAACAAGGGAATTGATGCCTGCCGCTATCTGATCACCTATGGAGAATGGAACCAAGCAGTTTGGCTTGCTAAGGTAAACTGGTAATGTTACCATGGTAACACTGAATGAGGGTGATAATTTTTGTCCTACAGGGTTCATGTGAAGGTACATTGCCTTGGATTTCCATGGAAACCTAAATTGTAAACAGGTGGAACTTTTTCCTTCCTGGAAAGTATCCTTGTGTTTTTTGCAGTTATAATGAAATTTTTAAGTTTAGGTTGCTTGTAATTCAAGAGACTTATTTTTTTAACCTTGACTCATAACATTTTGGTTACAATTCATACCGTACCTGAATGAACTAAAAGTTTTGTATCTGTCCATTCTGCATCACCTGGATGTGGATCAATGACAGGTGATTACTTAGGTTGAAGTACAAACAGTGAATGTTTTTGAGCAGGTGTTTGGCTCTTTGTTCTTTGTCTTGTAGGCAACTCTACCCTTTTCAGAGTACAGCGTTGTGCTACGTCGGTACATAGACTATCTCTGCTCACCAGCAGTCAACCAGAAAACCAAAGCAATCTTAGTGCTGTTATCAATTGGACAGTTCCAACAAGTCTTAGAGGTTCTCATGAGGTCAGTAGCATGTTACCCATGACAGTCAGTACCATTGCATCCCAAATCCAATGTGTTGGTAGGGACTAATTTTTTAAGCACCGTCATTGGACAGCTTTTGATGGGAATGACAATGATCTTGGTTATATTATTTACATTGGCACATTTTCGAAGGCTTTAGAGCACATTAATGTTATTATCAAGGTAACAATTTGTCATCCTGACTGCATTGTACATCGCTTTCACCAAAAATGACCCCCAAAAAATCCCTTTAGCATAAAAGTGGCATTACGACTAAAAATCAACATATATGTATTCTGTCTGTATTGTGGTAAATGTTTCCACCATTTTGTTTCTTTTTTCGTTTTCTACCAGCATGCACTATTATGACAGAGCTGGCATGTTTGCTGAGGCCTGTACAGAATTTGATGTCTTGCCAGATACAGAGGAGATAAATATCCTTTTGAGAGGCTGAAGGATCAGTGTAAACATTTTTTGTTCCACTATCCACCCTGAGCAGAAGCACCCCCTCATTGGTTGAAAAGAGCCATGTTGGTCGGGAGTGTTTATTTTGCTGGTAGCGATGTACCCATAATGTGCGCATCTCGTAGTCGTTCATGAACCAGTAAAGTGCAGTTCTGACTAAAGGAGCCACCGTTGCTGGGAAAATTGCGCCCTCTTTTGGTCCAGCTCGGGGCTCATTATTGGCCAAATGGCACAGAGACAAAACAAGTTAAAGTGAGTCTCTAAGCTTGTGTTTGCCAGTTAATTTACAAATTTTAGTACATTCTCAAGGGTTTGGAAGTCAGATCTGCTAAACTCAAATAGTTGGCTTGATAATAATCATCATAACCACCCTTGCCATAGTTTCCACATGTTCTTGGATTTTAATTGTCGGCCTTAACCATCGTTAACCACGAACTCTTCTTGAGAAGGTGTACTTGGAGTATGCCCGCTACCTGTTGGCATTGGGTAACCGTAAAGCCTACGGTTACTACTGCAATAAAGCAGCTGAGAAGGCACAGAAAGTCAACCAGGATCTGGAGTGGATGGAAGACTAACAGGTGAATCAGGGGTTTACTCAAGGCACTCAATAATTATGCCAATGAAGTAGTAGAAATTTGACATGACAGGAGGGGATGAAGTGATGACACAGAAGAGAAGATATGATCAGTGATTCTGAAAAATGCTGACTTCTTGCAACAAAGAAGCCAAAAGTAGTAGAGAGTTACTGGAAAATAGCATGGCTTGAAGCCTGAAGAATTAGCCCCAACTGTGAAGTTGTTATCAACTGAAGGTATGAGCACTATTATATTTTGCTGGTAAGGTGGATTTTGTACACACTGCAGAAAATGAAGCAGGCAAAAATTAAAAGGTCAAGGTTTTGTTCCTCTTGGTGACCTTCAGTGCAAGTTTATTTATTGCTTGCCAGCAAGTTTTTGGCGAGGATTCAAAGTATTATTCTCTGAAGGTCTTTTCTCTTTTTACATTGAATTAAACCAAGTATGAATGAACATGCCCAAAAGCATTTACAAAATTAACTCTTGTGGGACTTATTAGACATTTACATGGATCGTTTTTAAGCATAACTCCAGATTATGAAAATGATTTCAACTGTTGTACCATAAAACAGGAAAACCTTTCACTATTCCATTCCCGTTCCCTTCTTCCTCCTCATAAAAAAAATTGTATCAAGGCATATCTTGTCTCTTCCTTACCCCAATGCATCTGTAAAATATTTTACCTTGTATATGACCCAGTCTTACAAAAAAGTCACAGGTCACCAGAGCCACTTTGGGTTAAAGTCTGAAGAAGAGTCTTTCACATGATAAATCAGTTGCAACTTTCAACGTTGTCACCCAAATGATATCCACGTTCATTGCGATGTCAAAGGATGAGCTCAGTTTGCTCTTTGTAATGCAACCTTAAAGAAAATTACTGGAAAAAAAGACCTTCATTAAGGCTCATTTGTGGGATCTGGTGACATGTGAATTTGAAAGGTTGCACACTGAGGTGCAACATATGATATGTACCCTTTCTTATTTTCTTATTCTGTTTGTGGTTTCCTTCTGGTAGGTGTTAAGAAACAATGACTGACGAATTTCTTTATGACAGGCTACAGATTTTTCCTTCCTCCTAAAAACCAATATTAAGTACATACACAAGCAAGTGAAGTTTCCCTGCTGTATATATTTTGCATGAATGTATAAATACTTCAACAAAATAAATACGTGTATTTAATTTGGATCAAATGTAGGTGTGTTAAGAGTACTGAAGAAGCAGAAAAGAGATGCATTGTCACCTTTGTATCTTTGCAAGCATTCATAAATGTCTGTTGGATTGAAAATGAGTCAGATGAAATTTTAACAAAATGCAAGGTTAACCCCTTGCAATTTTATCTTTTCACAAAGAAATGTTGAAGTGTAAAATTGTAAGACAAAGGCTTCAAAGTCCCTGAAATGTGTTCCTGCACGGTCACTTGAAAGAACACGTACCTGGAACCAAAATTAATGCTGATTTGGCATAGAAAAGGTATGACTGTATTGTTTGCAGAGAAATCAATCTTCGACAAAATTTTAATTGTGAAAGAAACTACAAAGGGGAATTGACTAGGTGGTTATAAATGATTATAAAGATGAACAAAGAAATTGACTGGAGTGGGATTTAAATCAGTGACCTTTGGAACACCATACCAGTGCTCTATGAACAGATCTATCCAGCCCTACGTTGGTGGGTCTTCCAATTTGTTAATATGTTTGTTCAGGAGGGGAGTGCTGCTAGCCAGAAACCAGAAACACCATGTAGCATGGGGATAACACCCCAATAAAACGATACAAGATGGGAAGTCCTGAACAGGGATCACTCCAAGGAGGAACTATGTAAATTATGAAAGAAATTGTATCGGGAAAGAGAGAGTGGCAAACGGGAAAAGCCAGCAACAACTTAGTGCCGGCTAGCCTAGTTGGCAGAGCACTGGTATGGTGTCATAGAGGTTGTAAGTTCAAGCACACCTCTAGCAAAGTTGTTGCCATTTGAAGACCAAATTGTAGTCGCTCCTCTGCTGCTGCTGCCGCCGCCATAGCAGCAGCCCGACGACAAAACCAACTTCATTCCTTCAATATCTGTCTATTTATTTTACAATTTGTACAAATACTTTAAACCAACATATCTATATATACAGCGACAGAAAATGGCCACTCATTACATCCTGGAATAGTCGTAGACAAACACATTTTTCACTAAAACTGTGGCAATGAGTACTAAGAAAAAGCATGACATATGCATGCCTACAAATATTCCACTACACCTGAGGTGCCAGACTATTTGGCATAATACAGCATTTATTTACAGGGTGTATCAAAAAAGTACTCTCAGAAAGATTACCATGAAAAAAATAGCAACAAGTTTCAAACCTCTTGTTGTACCTGTTGGTGAAGGGTGTAGTTATTTTTATGGTAATTTTCTGAAAGTCTACTTTTTATTCTGATAAACCCTGTACCCTGATTTTGGAACCAAATTCAAAAATGGTACCAATATAGTAGGTGAAACATCCAAAGCAATAAATAATGACGAGTCTGAAATGAAATATACTGAAAGCAAACGGCAGCGTTCTCACTGATGAAGCAGAAGTATTTTTACAAACCAAATACTGTGATGTATGAATGTTATGATGATCATTCTAAGAATTATCAGTGTTTGACATTAAATTGGGAGAAATGTGAAAATTATTGCCAAATGCTATAAATAAGAACACAAATTTTCATCATATCATTTGTCTTAAAAAAATATGCTCTGACATAAAACTTGGACTGTAAATACTTGATTGTACAGAATGATTTAAAGAAAGACTCTGGACGGAATGTGAAAAGGAAACAAAAGTAATACCCTAGATATTCAAAATACTAAAAGTATGTCACAAAGTTGCCCTTTGTACACAAAAAGGAAAGATTTACATTGAAGTAGAAACTTCAGGAAAGAAGTAGCAAAGTATTTGACAAGGATTTCCAGGACGGACAAATACAGTAAACTCCAACTAAGTTGGCATCGCATAACTCGTCATATCGTCTAAGTTGGCCTTTTGACAAAAGTCCTGATTACCTGTAATGCATTTTCATTGAAAATTTCATTTTTAAGTCGTCATTTCATGTAAGTCGGCATTAAAACAAAATCATGCTTCGCGATCAGTTTCCTTTGCTGCAGTTGCCAAGAAGTATCAAATGACAAGTCCCGTGCGCGTGGCCAGCATGAGTTCATCAATACCAGTAACCCCTTTAGTGCTACAGGCATGCGCTCTGTCCATTTTGGG